TTTCCATCACCAGTAATGTGTATTGACAACTAGGAATCTCATTAAATTTAGTAGGAAATTAAAGTAACTATAGGAAATTTAGTGGAAGATACAATATTTTTTTATGAAAATTTCAAGACTGATATTTATACAGTATTTTGTTACTATATCCTTACCTTTTGAGATGACTTTGATTTAGATATTTTTAGATTTAGACTGTTTTTGAGCAGACTAAGAATCTTTAATATTGTATTCGAGCTTGAGTGTTCAAGCTCAATATCATGCCATGTTTAGTGGGAAGGTATTTGAATTTAGTAGGAATTAGACTTTGAACTACTAGTGGGAAGCTGATAATATTCAAGAGTCAAGAAGTGTCAGATTATTGGATATGCCGAACTAGCAAATATTTGGATTACCAAGATTTTATTTTATTTATAATTTTATAACAACTAAAAAATAGATTTTCTAAAAATGCCTCATAACTGTGTAAACTAACTGTACTCTTTGTTTTACTCTTCTTATTCTTTAAATTAATTAATTTAAAGAATAATTTTTAATTGAAAAATAAATAAATAACTATATATATAAGATGAAATTATATTTTTGAAGAAATATGTTGACATCAATACCCAATTTTAAATTAAATATAATGCATTCCATCTTTCTAAATAAATGACTTAATATCAGTAGTTGTTTGCATAATTATTGAAGTGCTATAATAGAAAAAAATGTTATGACTGTTGTTAATTAGATCTCATATAAAAAAAAATTGATTAATTTTGAATGTGATAAAAATTATTCAATGAGTGTTGTGTTCCAATTAATATTACAGTACAAAATAACAAGATGTACAGTACAAATACTACTTTCACTATTGTGAATCTGCTGCTAGGAACTAATCATATGAGAGAAATGGTTAATCATGGTTTTAAAAGTTTTATTGTTGACATTCAGTCAAAGATGCATTTTGGACACAAGTCCCCTCATCAGTTTGACATATGCTCAATTTCTTTCAAGATATCAACTCCAAGCGATATTTTTCAAGTATAAAGTTTCACTGAATATCTGTATGACAATGTTTAAAAGAACGAGGTGTAGTTAGTTCTATTACAGATGATATCTTTTATATTCAATAAACATTAAATATTGAAATAATGATTTGGTTCTTGTTGTAAAGGCCTGTATAGACATTGCAACAACACTATAATTATAGAGTATAATTTCTCGTATATTCCTTGAATGATTAGTTCCTAGCAGTGGATTCACAATTGTGAAAGAAACATCTTGTTATTTATTTAGTGATAAAAATTATTTCACTATTCATTTTTCATTTATAAAGTTAAGTGGTGTCCATTTCTCAAGGAAGATATATATTATTATAGTATGTATGTATTCTTTAATACTTTTGTAAAATATTTTAGATATTGTACAGTACATATATGCTAATATTATATGTAATCTTTTAGGGAAATGAACATAAATTTATTTACATACAGTCAAAATACTTCTAAAATTTTGTAGGATACTGCCTTTCTTTGCATGGAATATTTAATTTTAAAATTCAATATAATTCTAAAATGCATACACTTTCCTGTTTTTAAAATATAATTGTTTTGAAAACTGAAAAATTTCTGTAGGTGTGTAATTTAAAAATTGCAGTTTTGGCAGTCATATCTGTTTTTTTTTTTTTTTAAATAAATTTGAGAATGTGCTAGAATAGATTGTTGCTTGAACCCTGTAGATTTAAATTCATGTTGTCATAGAGCATAACCAAACAAATTAAATAGAGCAGCTTTATGAATAGCAAAGAATTTTAGTTGGCGGATTTTACAAACAACATGAGGAAAGAGGAAGAAGCTTCACAGTTAAGCATTTTGTGGATATAAGGATGATAAGAAGGACAGTTTAGAGCATCACAGAAATGCTGGAAAGTGATAACACTTGATAGATGACTAAGGAGTAGGCAGAAGAAAATTAAAATGGCAAAGCAAAGGAGAGTAATTGGAAAAAACAGATGGTTGGAAAAGTTGGACAGTCAATAAGAAAATTTGGAAGAAAGTTAAAAGTATCTCATCAGTATGTTAAAAATATACTATTTAAGTAAAATGTTGACCTTCAGAAGCAAAAGTCAGCTCCAAAATATAAAATAACTCAAATTGTAAAGAATTCTGCTGCAAAGTGCAAGAGCAAGTTTCAAATGGGATTGAATGTTATGGATGATGAGTCATATTTTAACTTTGATGGAAGTGACTGCACTAGGAACAATAACACATGATTGTAAGGATGGGGTTGAGATTGATTTACAGGTAAAATTTAAATGCCATGCAAAATTTCTTCAAAGTGTTGGTTTGGGTAGCAAGCAATCCAAAAAGATCTTAAGCATTCATAGCACCTTCTCATCTTTACATCAATAAAGAAATATACATAATAGTATATTAAAAAGCTTGATCCCATTCAAGAAACCCCACTCTGTGTGTCTTCTGGCCAGATCTCATAGCTGCACATTATGCAACAGATACAGTTTCTGTGCTAGAAGAATATGGAGTTCATTATGTCAGCAAAGAGAACAATGTTGCAAATGTTCTTTAACTGTGTCCAATTGAATATTTCTGGTACCAGCTGAAATAGGAGGTGTATGAAAATAGATGGTCTGCCAAAAATGAAGCAGAACTGAAACAATACATCACTTTATTTCACCAGACTCTGTCAATTTAATTCAACATTTTCAAACTCTGATGATTGGCATCAAGACCAAAATCAGAAAACCTGCTGACTGCAAGACTAGATTCCATAATTTAGAGACAGAAGAAACAAATGTTTTCAATTTTGTGTTCTTGGATAATCATACTTGGATATTGTAAAAATAAATAAATCTGATTTTCATGCAGATTTTTGTTTGCATACTCTTAAAGGTATAATGCTAGCTCATTCTCAAATGTATAGATGATATTAAAATATCAAAATACAGATACAGTAATTTCCAAGAAGACATAACAAATGATCAGTTGAATTTTATGCTCAAATAACTTTGAAAAAATTCTATTCTATTTTCAAAATTAAAAATAAGGCATTGTATTTTATAATTTTCAAAGTAAAAATATCTGTGATTTATAAATTGGAAACTATTTTGTTCTTTCCTAAATAACAATTACAGTATTTACTCTAATAATCTGTACTGTTTTTTCCAAAAAATCATGACAAAGTCAGAGTATATGGTTTATTTTAAACAAATTTGGTGACATATGTGATATCCAAGGTGCTTCCAGTTACTAGCATTTTGCTTACTTTGCTAGTAATAAATTTCATTTATCAACTGGATGGCTTTGATAGTTACAAGTTGATAGTTACAAGTAATGTTGTTAAATATTTTTGTACAATTAGTTTTGTGAAAATGAGGATAAATAAAGTAAGTTAAATATACAACTGACAAGGGAGGTTATTCAAAGTATATGTACTGTTTTTGATGAAAATTTAGCCACATGTTACCAAAAGATGATTATACAGTATATGAAAAAAACTGCAAATAGATATTTGTTTACAAGTTACTACTGTGGTTGGCCATCAGAGCACTCCATTGCCAACAGCACTTTATATAGCCATTGTTCATCAGTGAAGTCCACTGACATGCTGACCACATGTTTTGTTCATAAATATTGCATAAAGTTCCAAACTTAATAGTTTTAATGTTATGAAAATGATATTCAAAGAATTTGATACATCAGTGAAGCAACTGATGCCAAATAGCAGCAAATTAAACTGAGAAGCCAGATTCTGGATAAGTAAAAATTGCACTGTTTCTTTTTGACAGTGAGATTAACATAATTTTTTACTTTTTGATATAATGTACACTGTATGGGTGTCAGCTTTATGAAATTGAAACCAAATGGAGATTAGAGTACATGATTTAAGACAGGGTATCTTCACAGCAGACTATCGTTGCAAAATTTTTCCAAATTCTCATTTTCTTTGAAGAGCAGATTGTTTTAAAGACAATTTTCAATGTTCTGAAGGTGTGTTCATAATCTGTTTATGGTGCAAACATTCTTTAGGCTATAATCATTTTTATATTGAAAATCAATATTATTTAGTTAATACTTATTGTATCTAAATTTTCAACAAAATTGGTGAGTACACTTTGAGTAACCTCCCCTTTGAGACTGAAAGAAGTTTTACTTTCATTTAATTAGTAATGTATTCATTATAAAATACATTACTACATATTGCAGGTAATTAATCTCTATTAAATATACAAATTTTTTCTTCAGTATTTTTAACTTTTAATACTATATGGACTTGTAAACAGATAACCACCATATTGAATGCAACTAGAAGGAAGGAAGCTTACTATTGTTACAACCATAAATTATTAAAATTTGTTAAATACATATTAAATTTTCCTTTTTTTTTAGAAGAAGCATTATTTTAAAAAAGATGGAATGCATGGATTACTATAGTAAATATGGTAATTATATTCAAATGCTTACAAAAATTCTTTACTTATACCTACTATAAATGCATTTATACAGTATATATAGTTTTTATTCATTTTTTAAAAATATTCTTTATAAATTTATTTTCATATTTTCAAACCATTGAAAATTATTTACAGAAAGACTATACATAATGAATGTTGAAAGTACATTAAGTATAGAAAAATTATATCTGTTTAAACCTATCTTGATTGATATTTGTCAATAGAAAAAAATAGTTTTGAGATTAGTAATTTGAAATATATCCTATTCTCAGAATTTACTTATATATAAAACTATAAATATTTGTATTTTGAAATAAATTTTTGTTTTTCCTTTTTTAATAATTGGTAAATATTAAAATATATAAATGAAATATATAGAAATTATTTAAATATAAAACAAATTTTGATTTATTAGCTTAATTTGTAATAATTTTTATAGCGAATTCTTTAAAATTTATTTCTAAATCTAATAGTTTTTATTAGGTCATTTTATAAATTTTAAATATGAAACAGTGATTTAATCTTTTATACTTTATTTTTACTTTAGTATTTGTTTCACTTGGAGTATGTATTGCTGTTCAACTTGGTACGTATCCAGCCTGGATGTTCTTTCAGTGTTTCACAGCAATAACATTGTTCTATTGTGCTCATTGGCAAACTTATGTTTCAGGAATATTAAGATTTGGAAAGTAAGCATTATACTTTCATATTAATTTCAAAATTTAATATATTGTTTTTTAAAAACATTGCAATATAAAAAGTATATATTTAGTCATTTTATATATCAAATACTGTGCATATAATACATATATTGTAAATATTATAAGTGTTTTTATTTAAACCAGGCATTTCCAACATAACTGCTCAATAGCCCTAGTAATTTCTTGATCTGGGATTAATAAATAATACTAATTGTTGTTAGGGAGTCAATGGACAGATTTATTATTAATTTTAAAAAAATCAATTATTAGCTTTATTATATATCTTTTAAATTTTATTAAAATACACCACAAAACTCAATTTTTAATTCTGTATTAGTATAGAAAGGGGTTGCCCTTTTGGTACTGAATTAGACTTAGTGTTGGAAAGGAGTAGACAAGCAAAAAAAGTTTGGAAATCCTTGATTTAAACTGTTGTAAAATAATTAATTTGAAACAATTTTACTGCTTCAAAAGTTACTTATTAAAACTTTCATTATATCATTGCTTTCTTTGCATCAGATCAATATTTTAACTTATTCTGATAACTAAACTCTGCAGAAATTGTAAATAACAGAATAGAATTTATAAAAATAGAAACTCTTATTTAAGATTTCTGTAAATTTACTTGTAAATAACAAACATCTAAAAAAAGAACAGTATTTATTTCCAACCAATTGTAAATATAATTGCAATAGAAAAACAAGTTGTTGAACTTCCTTAGAAAGTTACTTTTCTTCAATATATTTTTTAACAAAATATCATTAATATTATATAATGATATTAAGTTTATTTGCAAACATATTAAGAGTAGCAACCATTATCAATTTGTTAATAATACGTTTAAGATTAATTCTGCAATTAATGTAATTTGGCCTGGCTTTTACCTACTAATGATATTTCATTGGAAATGTCTGAAATATAAGAACTTTCATATATGCAAAAGAAATTTAAAGTTTTTGCTTTATTTATTTTTCTTGAGTTTCATTTTACAAAATTGGGATAAATTTATATTTTGTTTGAATGTGTAAAATATAAATCCAGAAAGAATATTAGAGTAATTTTATAGCAAAAACATTCTGATAATCTACTTTGAAGTTGAATAAAAAAAAGTAAGATGTATTCATATCAGAGTATAACTACCCCTTTAGTTCCTGCAAAAAATTAGATTTAGTACGTTACAAACATTTTCAGCCATTTTATAGATGTATTCATCATTAAAATAAAAATGAATAGACAAAATTGCTGTTCATTTTTACTTTAATTAAAAGTCATGAAAAATTATGTTTAATTTCAAAAAAGTTTTCAAGGAATATGACAAAAACAAAAATATTTTTTGTATAACAAAAACATGACAAAAATATTTTTATTTTTGTATTCCTTTTTTTACTATAATGTGGTACAAGTATAAATTTTTTCCTACTTTTACTTTGCTTTCAATGAAAATTGATACACAGGATTTTGCATTTGATATCATTTTAATTTATTTATAACTTTGTCAAACATTTAAATGTATTAAAATAAATGCTAATATTTTTAAACATTAATGACAAATAAATAAATATTTAGTAAATTGCTATAGATATGAAAAAACTGCAGTATGTTGCATAACACTTTATTACATTATGTAAACAGTTTATAGGAAATTGTTAATTTACTATAAAAATATTTATTTGTTTATTTAATACTTTCTGATGTATTAAGCCATAAATAGAAAATAAAATTATTTAATTAAGTATTCCTAAAAATAATAGAAAGAGATTATGGAAAAGGAAAATTTTTATTTAAAAGCAAATATATATATATATGAATCATAATTTAAACTAGCATTTGTATTAAATAAAAAAATAAAGTACCATGTTTCGGGCATTTGTGTTAAGTCTTTTTGGAAGATATTGGAAATACTGTATATATAAATAAAATAAAAAAAACTTTTTTTTTCCTGTTGGAAATATGACAATTTGAAAAATGATGATATAAAATTCAGCCATTATTTTACAATTTTCAGTATTCAAGTTTAACAGATGAAATATTTTGTATTTCATTAATGTAGATATTTCTTAAATTTAAACAGTACAAAAGTTATCAGAAATTAAACTACTATATTAATGTAAACTTAATTTAAAATTTTGATATTAAATATATATAGTAGCTTTTAAATAATCTTATAATAAATTTATTTTTAGATTTGATGTAACAGAAGCACAATTCAGTATAATGGTGGTACATATAATATCTGCCATCTTTGGTCCTACAATATGGTCTTTAAAGGTATGTTATTTTATCATTAATATGTTTTAATGTTACATAGTGAAGTCATAAATTAATAAAGTATGTATTTTTACATTTTTATTAATCTATATTTATTTATTTATTATATTTACAATAACCCAGTGTGCTGTTGTCTACTGGCTTTTTAGATAACTCAGATAACTTGTTTCTGCAGACTTTCCTTCACAACAAGGATGAACTAAGGATAGTACAACCCTTAATATTGTTTTTGGGCCCTATATTGCTGAGAATAGCATCTCTTTTTAGAAAGCATGGCTTTACTTTGCCCATAGCCCCATAACCAACACTAAGAAGAGTGTTATGTAATAATGAAGATACTGTCACACATTAAATGAAAAATCAGGAAACTACAAAATTCTGTTACAACAGGTACTCTCAGGGAAGGAAATTATTTACATTGAGGCTACTACTAGAATGCTACAGTCCAGTATCCTGGAACATCAAGATGATATTAAAAACAACAGACCAGCAACTGAGTTATCTGAAAGGGTACTAGACCAGGGTTATCTACTGCTTTGGGCACACGCCAAATTACTTAAGCAGTGCAATGATCTAAGGGAGTTATTTATATGGGAGAACCTCTATATATCAACAGTAACTGTATTAACACCGTAGTTATCTTATGACAATAATTATTATAGTTGGAGCTGTATGTATACATTTATTGAGATTTTGTATAACTCTCTCCATTATTGCCAAAAAAATCTCTATCTATTAGTTGTTACATGAAATAGAAAATCCTTTGAATAAGCCAGCTACTCATTTCAGATAAAACCAAATATAATTTGAGATTATATATAATAGCAGAATATCTGGCATAATCAATCAGATCAATTGCTGTATTATTATTCAGGTGCAAACAAAAATCACATGGTTGAAAAAATTTCATTACATATTTTGGAGATAATTATACAAATTATATTGTATAAATAATTAATAAAAAATATAATAGTATTTTTTTATTATTGCTTTTTAAATTTTTTATTAATTTATTTCTTCTATTTATTTTCAAGAAATGTTTGGGTTGTAAAATTCTGAATGTAGTTCAAAACCAATCTTTACATATAATGATTGTATAATTTTGTAATATTTAAACAACATATAATACGCTTATTATACAGTAGTCCCAGAATCTCGACTCTCAATTACTGACATTCTGTAAAACATGTTATGTTGTCCAAAAAAGGAGATACATGTAATCTAATTTTTATCTTTGTAACATAACACTAGGATCAAATAAATTATTGTTATTCACTGGCTACATTCATTATCATCATCAACACAATTCCTTGTGTTAACAGGAATATAACTCTTTTTACAAGATTTCACTGCAAAACACAACCATAAAAATGTTACTAACTAGAAATAACCACCAAATAGTGAAATAGTTTAGAAATAGAAATATTCACTATTGGTACTGTACATAATACCAATAATGATTGCACATATAATACTTTTATGAAAATTCTGCTATTTAAACTAGAATCTTTGATATCCATAAAAATCTTTTTGCTTACCTTCTCAGTCCACATTAAGTCAAGTTTGTGGGACTCTGTGGTATTATAAGTTTAAAATGATTAATTCAATATAATAGAATAAGTTGTATATATTATAAATTATATATATTAAAGTTTTTGTACTCATAGTTCAAATAATAATCATCCTCCCTACAATTTTATTGGTTTCTGCTTGTTACAGCAATTACATTATATTGCTGATGAAATATAATTACTTTAACAAGCAGAAAATTAAAAAAGACAAATCACTAAAATTTTACATATATTTTTGGAATTATTATACACTTCTAGATTCCAATATTATGCATTCAACTGAAAATACTACCTACAATTTTAGTGATTGTAGTTGTCTCTGTGGTCATGTATGGTTATATGATCATCATTTTCACTGGTGGTGCAGGAAAAAATGGATCGACGGTTGCCGTAAGTTGAAATCATTCGGATGATGGATTTCTGTTTAATGTTAATCATACTACTAGTCAGGACCCTGCTGACACACTAAAAATTTGTTTGGTTACTAACTCACTACAAGTTAATTGGTTTTTCCCTTATTATTAATTTTATCTGCAGAAAGATGTTAGGATTGCATATGTGTATATATATTTAATTTATAAATAAGAATGCAAGAATTTTCATCTTTCTGCATATTAATACTTTTTAATGTAATAACCATTTAGATACCTTACTTGCATGTGGAACTCAGATTACTGCCCGTGGCTTTGGCCCTAACGGTATCGGTGATTATATGTTACTCTCTGTTAACTATCATTTTATCCGGCGGAGTTGGCAAGAATGGTTCCACAGTTGCTGTAAGTAAATAGACTAATATTCTCACCAATTTTTCTTATTAACCAAATAACAATGTTTATGAAAGATTTCTACCAGAGAGACTAATTTTTCATTTCCTTTTAGGGTACTAGTGTTCTTTCTCCATCCATTCCCATCAGTTTGGTGGTCATTCCTGCTTTCATAATTTACAGAAAGTCCACTTACAATATCTACGAAAACCATCCATGTCTATACATCTTGGCCTTTGGTATGGTGGCATCCAAAGTCACAAATAGACTTGTCGTGAGTATATTTTTATGTTAGTAAAAATTAACAAAACAGAATTATGCATAAATGATGCTCCATTGTACTTAACTGAAGGATCTGGATCAAACAAGATATAATAGTTTTTGATAAATTCAGTATTATAGCTTATAAAAGATAAAAATATAACAAATATTTTAGTATTTATTATAAAAATACAGGTGTTCAATAAGAAAGATATTGCTCTTTTTGAAAGTTACAGTGGTCTGTGGTTGTGTAAACATTATTGCTGTTAATCAGATATACAAAATAATTCCAAAGTGGTTTTTCTTCCTGTTTAATACAGGTAGCCCTTGGTTTACGCCGCAGTTCCGTTCCTACAAAAGCTTGCGCAAATCGAATCGGCGTAAAATGAACCCATATTTACAGTGAGGTGTAGGGTTAGGTTCTACATAAGTGAAAAATAAGCAAATAATTTTGTTTATTAATATAATATAATACAAAATACATATAAAATTAATTTTTAAAATNTATTCTTTATAAATTTATTTTCATATTTTCAAACCATTGAAAATTATTTACAGAAAGACTATACATAATGAATGTTGAAAGTACATTAAGTATAGAAAAATTATATCTGTTTAAACCTATCTTGATTGATATTTGTCAATAGAAAAAAATAGTTTTGAGATTAGTAATTTGAAATATATCCTATTCTCAGAATTTACTTATATATAAAACTATAAATATTTGTATTTTGAAATAAATTTTTGTTTTTCCTTTTTTAATAATTGGTAAATATTAAAATATATAAATGAAATATATAGAAATTATTTAAATATAAAACAAATTTTGATTTATTAGCTTAATTTGTAATAATTTTTATAGCGAATTCTTTAAAATTTATTTCTAAATCTAATAGTTTTTATTAGGTCATTTTATAAATTTTAAATATGAAACAGTGATTTAATCTTTTATACTTTATTTTTACTTTAGTATTTGTTTCACTTGGAGTATGTATTGCTGTTCAACTTGGTACGTATCCAGCCTGGATGTTCTTTCAGTGTTTCACAGCAATAACATTGTTCTATTGTGCTCATTGGCAAACTTATGTTTCAGGAATATTAAGATTTGGAAAGTAAGCATTATACTTTCATATTAATTTCAAAATTTAATATATTGTTTTTTAAAAACATTGCAATATAAAAAGTATATATTTAGTCATTTTATATATCAAATACTGTGCATATAATACATATATTGTAAATATTATAAGTGTTTTTATTTAAACCAGGCATTTCCAACATAACTGCTCAATAGCCCTAGTAATTTCTTGATCTGGGATTAATAAATAATACTAATTGTTGTTAGGGAGTCAATGGACAGATTTATTATTAATTTTAAAAAAATCAATTATTAGCTTTATTATATATCTTTTAAATTTTATTAAAATACGCCACAAAACTCAATTTTTAATTCTGTATTAGTATAGAAAGGGGTTGCCCTTTTGGTACTGAATTAGACTTAGTGTTGGAAAGGAGTAGACAAGCAAAAAAAGTTTGGAAATCCTTGATTTAAACTGTTGTAAAATAATTAATTTGAAACAATTTTACTGCTTCAAAAGTTACTTATTAAAACTTTCATTATATCATTGCTTTCTTTGCATCAGATCAATATTTTAACTTATTCTGATAACTAAACTCTGCAGAAATTGTAAATAACAGAATAGAATTTATAAAAATAGAAACTCTTATTTAAGATTTCTGTAAATTTACTTGTAAATAACAAACATCTAAAAAAAGAACAGTATTTATTTCCAACCAATTGTAAATATAATTGCAATAGAAAAACAAGTTGTTGAACTTCCTTAGAAAGTTACTTTTCTTCAATATATTTTTTAACAAAATATCATTAATATTATATAATGATATTAAGTTTATTTGCAAACATATTAAGAGTAGCAACCATTATCAATTTGTTAATAATACGTTTAAGATTAATTCTGCAATTAATGTAATTTGGCCTGGCTTTTACCTACTAATGATATTTCATTGGAAATGTCTGAAATATAAGAACTTTCATATATGCAAAAGAAATTTAAAGTTTTTGCTTTATTTATTTTTCTTGAGTTTCATTTTACAAAATTGGGATAAATTTATATTTTGTTTGAATGTGTAAAATATAAATCCAGAAAGAATATTAGAGTAATTTTATAGCAAAAACATTCTGATAATCTACTTTGAAGTTGAATAAAAAAAAGTAAGATGTATTCATATCAGAGTATAACTACCCCTTTAGTTCCTGCAAAAAATTAGATTTAGTACGTTACAAACATTTTCAGCCATTTTATAGATGTATTCATCATTAAAATAAAAATGAATAGACAAAATTGCTGTTCATTTTTACTTTAATTAAAAGTCATGAAAAATTATGTTTAATTTCAAAAAAGTTTTCAAGGAATATGACAAAAACAAAAATATTTTTTGTATAACAAAAACATGACAAAAATATTTTTATTTTTGTATTCCTTTTTTTACTATAATGTGGTACAAGTATAAATTTTTTCCTACTTTTACTTTGCTTTCAATGAAAATTGATACACAGGATTTTGCATTTGATATCATTTTAATTTATTTATAACTTTGTCAAACATTTAAATGTATTAAAATAAATGCTAATATTTTTAAACATTAATGACAAATAAATAAATATTTAGTAAATTGCTATAGATATGAAAAAACTGCAGTATGTTGCATAACACTTTATTACATTATGTAAACAGTTTATAGGAAATTGTTAATTTACTATAAAAATATTTATTTGTTTATTTAATACTTTCTGATGTATTAAGCCATAAATAGAAAATAAAATTATTTAATTAAGTATTCCTAAAAATAATAGAAAGAGATTATGGAAAAGGAAAATTTTTATTTAAAAGCAAATATATATATATATGAATCATAATTTAAACTAGCATTTGTATTAAATAAAAAAATAAAGTACCATGTTTCGGGCATTTGTGTTAAGTCTTTTTGGAAGATATTGGAAATACTGTATATATAAATAAAATAAAAAAAACTTTTTTTTTCCTGTTGGAAATATGACAATTTGAAAAATGATGATATAAAATTCAGCCATTATTTTACAATTTTCAGTATTCAAGTTTAACAGATGAAATATTTTGTATTTCATTAATGTAGATATTTCTTAAATTTAAACAGTACAAAAGTTATCAGAAATTAAACTACTATATTAATGTAAACTTAATTTAAAATTTTGATATTAAATATATATAGTAGCTTTTAAATAATCTTATAATAAATTTATTTTTAGATTTGATGTAACAGAAGCACAATTCAGTATAATGGTGGTACATATAATATCTGCCATCTTTGGTCCTACAATATGGTCTTTAAAGGTATGTTATTTTATCATTAATATGTTTTAATGTTACATAGTGAAGTCATAAATTAATAAAGTATGTATTTTTACATTTTTATTAATCTATATTTATTTATTTATTATATTTACAATAACCCAGTGTGCTGTTGTCTACTGGCTTTTTAGATAACTCAGATAACTTGTTTCTGCAGACTTTCCTTCACAACAAGGATGAACTAAGGATAGTACAACCCTTAATATTGTTTTTGGGCCCTATATTGCTGAGAATAGCATCTCTTTTTAGAAAGCATGGCTTTACTTTGCCCATAGCCCCATAACCAACACTAAGAAGAGTGTTATGTAATAATGAAGATACTGTCACACATTAAATGAAAAATCAGGAAACTACAAAATTCTGTTACAACAGGTACTCTCAGGGAAGGAAATTATTTACATTGAGGCTACTACTAGAATGCTACAGTCCAGTATCCTGGAACATCAAGATGATATTAAAAACAACAGACCAGCAACTGAGTTATCTGAAAGGGTACTAGACCAGGGTTATCTACTGCTTTGGGCACACGCCAAATTACTTAAGCAGTGCAATGATCTAAGGGAGTTATTTATATGGGAGAACCTCTATATATCAACAGTAACTGTATTAACACCGTAGTTATCTTATGACAATAATTATTATAGTTGAAGCTGTATGTATACATTTATTGAGATTTTGTATAACTCTCTCCATTATTGCCAAAAAAATCTCTATCTATTAGTTGTTACATGAAATAGAAAATCCTTTGAATAAGCCAGCTACTCATTTCAGATAAAACCAAATATAATTTGAGATTATATATAATAGCAGAATATCTGGCATAATCAATCAGATCAATTGCTGTATTATTATTCAGGTGCAAACAAAAATCACATGGTTGAAAAAATTTCATTACATATTTTGGAGATAATTATACAAATTATATTGTATAAATAATTAATAAAAAATATAATAGTATTTTTTTATTATTGCTTTTTAAATTTTTTATTAATTTATTTCTTCTATTTATTTTCAAGAAATGTTTGGGTTGTAAAATTCTGAATGTAGTTCAAAACCAATCTTTACATATAATGATTGTATAATTTTGTAATATTTAAACAACATATAATACGCTTATTATACAGTAGTCCCAGAATCTCGACTCTCAATTACTGACATTCTGTAAAACATGTTATGTTGTCCAAAAAAGGAGATACATGTAATCTAATTTTTATCTTTGTAACATAACACTAGGATCAAATAAATTATTGTTATTCACTGGCTACATTCATTATCATCATCAACACAATTCCTTGTGTTAACAGGAATATAACTCTTTTTACAAGATTTCACTGCAAAACACAACCATAAAAATGTTACTAACTAGAAATAACCACCAAATAGTGAAATAGTTTAGAAATAGAAATATTCACTATTGGTACTGTACATAATACCAATAATGATTGCACATATAATACTTTTATGAAAATTCTGCTATTTAAACTAGAATCTTTGATATCCATAAAAATCTTTTTGCTTACCTTCTCAGTCCACATTAAGTCAAGTTTGTGGGACTCTGTGGTATTATAAGTTTAAAATGATTAATTCAATATAATAGAATAAGTTGTATATATTATAAATTATATATATTAAAGTTTTTGTACTCATAGTTCAAATAATAATCATCCTCCCTACAATTTTATTGGTTTCTGCTTGTTACAGCAATTACATTATATTGCTGATGAAATATAATTACTTTAACAAGCAGAAAATTAAAAAAGACAAATCACTAAAATTTTACATATATTTTTGGAATTATTATACACTTCTAGATTCCAATATTATGCATTCAACTGAAAATACTACCTACAATTTTAGTGATTGTAGTTGTCTCTGTGGTCATGTATGGTTATATGATCATCATTTTCACTGGTGGTGCAGGAAAAAATGGATCGACGGTTGCCGTAAGTTGAAATCATTCGGATGATGGATTTCTGTTTAATGTTAATCATACTACTAGTCAGGACCCTGCTGACACACTAAAAATTTGTTTGGTTACTAACTCACTACAAGTTAATTGGTTTTTCCCTTATTATTAATTTTATCTGCAGAAAGATGTTAGGATTGCATATGTGTATATATATTTAATTTATAAATAAGAATGCAAGAATTTTCATCTTTCTGCATATTAATACTTTTTAATGTAATAACCATTTAGATACCTTACTTGCATGTGGAACTCAGATTACTGCCCGTGGCTTTGGCCCTAACGGTATCGGTGATTATATGTTACTCTCTGTTAACTATCATTTTATCCGGCGGAGTTGGCAAGAATGGTTCCACAGTTGCTGTAAGTAAATAGACTAATATTCTCACCAATTTTTCTTATTAACCAAATAACAATGTTTATGAAAGATTTCTACCAGAGAGACTAATTTTTCATTTCCTTTTAGGGTACTAGTGTTCTTTCTCCATCCATTCCCATCAGTTTGGTGGTCATTCCTGCTTTCATAATTTACAGAAAGTCCACTTACAATATCTACGAAAACCATCCATGTCTATACATCTTGGCCTTTGGTATGGTGGCATCCAAAGTCACAAATAGACTTGTCGTGAGTATATTTTTATGTTAGTAAAAATTAACAAAACAGAATTATGCATAAATGATGCTCCATTGTACTTAACTGAAGGATCTGGATCAAACAAGATATAATAGTTTTTGATAAATTCAGTATTATAGCTTATAAAAGATAAAAATATAACAAATATTTTAGTATTTATTATAAAAATACAGGTGTTCAATAAGAAAGATATTGCTCTTTTTGAAAGTTACAGTGGTCTGTGGTTGTGTAAACATTATTGCTGTTAATCAGATATACAAAATAATTCCAAAGTGGTTTTTCTTCCTGTTTAATACAGGTAGCCCTTGGTTTACGCCGCAGTTCCGTTCCTACAAAAGCTTGCGCAAATCGAATCGGCGTAAAATGAACCCATATTTACAGTGAGGTGTAGGGTTAGGTTCTACATAAGTGAAAAATAAGCAAATAATTTTGTTTATTAATATAATATAATACAAAATACATATAAAATACATTTTAAAAATTATTTCACTTTATTTTATGATAAATTTTTGTTTTTATTAAAAAATTTTAGTTTCGGATCTCTTACATTTTTCGGAAAAAAGTATTCATCTTTAATTGTTTACATTTTTGTGTTCTTTCATTGAGAATTTCGGAATATGGTCGAATGGATGCAATGATGCTTCATTTTACATTTGCACTTCGTTCCCAATCATTGTCTAAGTCACAAAGGTCATCCGTCAAACTTTCCATAGTTGAAAGGATACGTTAATCCAACGTAGAGCTACGGATGAGCGGAGACACTGATTGGTCGACCAGCGGTTGCCGTAGCGCATGTATAAGGTCAGTTTGAGCAGGAAAATTGAAGGTGGCTAAGGAGAGATAGATATCGTCTTGCTAATAAAAAAGTATCGTCTGGCCAATGAGAAGTAGATTTGTCTCACTAACGATAGTTTGTGATCGCCGGAAGTGCTACTGTGTCATAAGGTGTTCTCCTAAACGAACTGATACGGGATACATTCATTGGTGCTATGGATTTGGACGCCATTTATTGGACTATTAATTAAGTTTGATAACTTGACTCGTGGGTACTTAAACATTTAGTGTTTTAATATTAATTTAATGCAAATGTATACATATCCAATAATATTAAACAGAAAAACTAAATATATTCAATAAAAATCTTTGTTTTAATGAATGTACAATGTCGTGGCTTGGTAAATACAACACTGAAATGAAAATCAGTCTGGCATAGGGGCAAATTGCGTAGTGGTGTTATTGTGAATCGACGTAAACCGAGGGCTACCTGTACTCAAATACTATTGGTAATGAGTGATATGCTGCCATCTACAAATAACAATTCTTAATTTTAGAATATCCATTAAGAATTACACTTTGAAATAGTGAACTAAAGTTTTGCAAAATGTTTAAAGAATGTTTATGCAGTTTTGCTGTTACAGAATATTCCTATATTGTGATCTTTTCATACCCATTATAGGCAATAATCTTCTGTTAGACCTTCATTTCTAAAGCACAATATATTTGATTAAGTCAATTTTAATATCAGGAATGTGTTTAAGAAATTGAATTTGTTTTCTAAAACATTGCAGTGTCCGTTACTTCATCAGAAAGAAAATTACCTTATAAGTGACACTTCCTTTGTGTGTCAAAGATTATTTTACCATTGAAAGTAATAAGAATAGAAATATTTTGGTATCAACATTAAAATGATGTATGATGAAATTTAAAACTTTAAAAATAAAGTGAAGCACCATTTTTATCTGTTTAAATCCTAAATCTTAGGATTAGACCCAACTACATAGTCACAGGTTAATACTATGAAAAATGCAAGTTTGAATTCAACCTTTATAGTGGGCTGTTGATTTTAATCTTGTCTATACCGTCAGATCTATTACTAATTAGAAATATGGTCTAAAAATGAGCTTTATATCTCATGCATTAGCATTTCACATTAAGACCAAGGAACATGATTTCAATTGTATGACATTTGACTTTACCCATGTTTTCTGTTTCTATTTTCTTGGCTAAAAGTACAAAATAATACAGTGTATAAATGATGGCTAATAGATATGTTGTGTGTAAAGACTGTTTTATCATGATAAAACAGTCTTTACACACAACAGTCTTATCATTTTTTTTAGTTTTTATTTTTGTTGCCACCAGTTTTACTTTCTAAACTGATAAGGCTACCAGCACTTGCATTAATTAGTGTCTGGAAAGCAAAAGTAGCATGTTAAACTGTCACTTAAAATTCAAAAAGGATTCCTATTTCTATGCCAGAGTAAATTTGATGACCTGTAACTCCCATTAATGGCACTCAGCTATGTGTTCTGAGTTGTCCCTAGTATGGTTATATCTAAATTAATAGTTCTGGAAGCAACAAAGGTCAGGTGGAAGTCTGGGTAGCATAATGGCAATGTGACTGCAAACTCCCACAACTCCTGCATACCATGAGGGAGTTGTGGGTTCAAATTCTGCTTTGGGTAAATACTTTTCCTCCAGAACATTCTAAATTAATTATTAAGTATTAATTTAATTATAATTATTAAATTTATCAAGAGATGGTGCCTAACACCTACATAGGTAGGTGTTAGGCACCATCTCTTGATAAAAGACCTCAATAAAATTTGATTTAAAATTCCATGATGGCATATGAAAAGTATTGTTCAATTTGAGTGTAATGAATCAGCTTGAAGTGGATTGTTATAAAAATATTGGTTTTGTAACATTACACTAGATGATGATGGCTAATGATTTTATTCTTTTCAAATTTCTAGATTAAATTATTTACATTCTTCATAATGGGATGATGAGGATATTAAAAAAAAATTATAATTTAACCTTTATTTTTAATAGATTGCTCATATGACCAAAAGTGAAATGGATTATCTAGATTCTATACTTATTGGACCAGGAATGCTCTTTCTAAATCAGTATTTCAATACCTTCATGAATGAATATGTTGTACTCTGGCTATGTCTAGTAAGTCTCGTTATTTGCAAGCTGTTCAAATTATAAATATTTGTGATTGTTAAATAATTTTATTTTTAGGTTTATTCTGCAGCTGATCTGTTCCATTACTGTATGATAGTTTGCAATCAGATATCTGCCCATTTAAAAATACATCTGTTTTCAATTGCACCCAGAACGACTGTCGTGCCTGCCTGTACTTTCTCAACAAATGGAACAAAGAGGACGGGAAGTACGATATCCAAACTAAAGTAGATTTGTTATAACTAAGACAAACATATATTTTGATTGCCATTAAGGACAGTTCAAATCGTCCAAAATGGAAATTAATTACAGTGTAAAAAATTTCATATTGGCATTTCATATTTACTCATAAGAGAATATTTTTATTACAATTTTAATATGTTTTGACGAAATATGGCACTTCCCCACTACCGACTCATCTGGACGATGTTCCTTGCTGTGATATACGTAGTAGATTTTAGAATTCAGGCCAATTAAACTAGTTGATAGCTACAGACAGGAAGCATCTCTTTTGAGAACAGTTTTATGTATAATTTTGTCAATTTCAAGCTTAGTAACTGCATACTTAGGTTCTATGCAAATTAATCCTTAACGAAGAAAGGTCACATTAATTTATGCCATAGTTATAACGTCTATCGTCCGTGCAGTTGTTTGTAATTTTGATTTGTCCACGTACGTTCACATTTAAATTTGGAAACGATTATTCGACGCAACATCGAGATATTGAATATGCACTATGAGAATGCCATTCGATAATTTAAATCATTCCTAACTGTAGTGGGATTTTTTTATAATTACAAGTATTTTTTGTAATAATTTTGTTAAAATTTCTGCTACTAATGGCTTTTTTCCCCCCTCCACATTTTTTGAAAATGCTATTGATGGGATAGTTCTTCCACTTAGCTCCTGAAAGAAAGATTTATGTTAAGCAGAATGGATTGTTTGTAGTTAAAACTAATTCTGGTATTTATAATTATTTACAAGGCAAAAGACAATTTGTAACTTATGATCCTTTCAGCAAAATTAAATATTTTAATTGCGATCAAGAAAAATTCCTACATTCCCTTTATTAGTTTGTAAATATTACTGTTACATCACTAGGAATGTTGTCAAATTTCTGACATCATTAAGTTTGTGTGTAAGTCTGTTTCTAGTATTCATGCACTAGTTTCTCCTAATTTGAATAGAAATTAGATATTTTAAAAATCTGTATTTATTGTAGAAAAGTGTAAAGCATTAAAATTGAAGAAACCCTTTCTAAATCAATTTCAGTCATTCATTAGTCCTATTGTGTATCTAGTCAAAGAAAAAATTATTTTCAAATTTTGTTAGTTGTGAATAAAAAAATTTGATAATAAGAATGTTTATTTCTTTTGTCATTTCACAGAGACAATGCTTTTAATAGTACTCGTTTTATTTTGACTTAAACTACAAAGCTGTCCCAAGTACTCTTTCACCATTTCTTATCAACATTTACATGAAAACTCTGTATTAAAATAATTGTGTATTTCTTTCTACACGTTTATTATGCAGTTAATATTGCACAGTTTCTCTTCTCAAATATAGTTCATCATCCTTGCTCAACTAACATTTAAATTTTGTGAGTTAGTCAAAATAAATGTGCAAAGCAAAATAATTTACAAGCAAAGACCAAAACAAAAATATTTTGAGAAATCCAGTGACCAAAGACAAAGAGAGATCAGATAGCTGCACAGACGCCACAAGTAATACTGTATGGCACATTTCCGTGTTCCGTACACAATATTACTCCAGATTATTTAATAAATATCACCTCTGTAAAAAAGATGTAAACCTTAATTTATGAATTGTGTTACAAGGTTTCAGTGGTCCACAAATTTACTTCAAATCCTACAAGAAAGATCATTGACAACAGTTCTTTGTAACCCATTACAAAATTTATACAGATCTGGGAATGCTTTGTTTAAGTAACAGATCATTTATTTGATCGTATTTTCCATATTTTAAAAGGAAAAGCTTTTATTAAAAAGTAAGTACAATAATAATTCGTATCACAATTACACAAATTCAAAAAACAATCACTGGATTTCTCATGTGACAGTCTTGGGCAATACCAAGTTGCCATTACCACAAATACGTTGTGGAAATAACACAATCCAACTATATTTTAAAATAAAACGTGCAGACGCAGATGTATACATAATGATAAACTTTAAAAAATATGATCATAAAAAAATTCCAGACATGACAATTTTTATTTCTGTGCAATAGTGATTGGTGCAGAGCACTTTGACTTTAAGAAACTATCGCTCTCTCGAAATGATCTATACAATGGAGTTGTCAGTAGATTAATATAGAGTACAGATTATTGGATGATATGTTGAGATTAAGTTACAAGAGTCAAAATCGAACGACGACGACAAAGTAATCCTCTATTATGTATGTGTTTCTCCGTGCGAGTTATTAGACAATTCCATTTATTTTGAATTCTATACACAAGAAATGGAATATTATGAGACATCTCGAAGATCGGCTATGGTTTTGCATTAGTTTCTACGGATCCAACATCAATCCGAGAAATTTCCTAACAAAAAAGAACTAGTTTAACGGATTAGATTAATGACAGTGAAACAAACCACCGTTGGCACATAATCACTGCACAACTTAATAAGGTGATGCGCTTACACCACTTTGGAATACAGAAGTGACTTATTTAACAAAATATAATTGGCAATTCCCATAGGGATTACCCTGATTAAATTTAATTTTGAACCACTTCCACATAATTGGCGGGATACAGTCCCACTCTCCCGTCTTTGCGACCCTTGCACCATCCTTGTTCATCTTCGTCTTCTAGCTTTTCAAACAGATCACCTGGCAAAACACAGTTTGTCAGCAGTTTGTTTGAGCATTTTAAATAAATTACAGGACTTACCTTGTTTGAAAGATAATTCGTCTGCCTCTGTGCCTATGTAATCGTAGAGGGCTTTGACAGGCACGCCAGGTTCTCCGGTATCTACCAAAGCATCATTCTGATATTCCTCCCAATCTTCTTGATCTTCAAATGGATTTTGTTCTTGGCCATTCCTATAAAATAAAGTTGTAAGTAAATTAAAATCAAAATATTAGATAAATTGTAGATGCAACCATTCTTTTTTTTAATAGATTTTCGTTTATGAATTGCTTAAAGTGTATATATTTAGAACAACATGCTTTCTTAAAAATTCTTTAATATAAACATTTTACAAAAATAATTTTAAATGAAACTGGTATTTCTTTATTTGTATCATCTTAAAATTAATTTGTTTTATAATTAAGAACACACAAAGATAACATAATTTCAAATCTTAAAGCTATTTGATAACACAAAAAAGTTGGTTGATTGTTAGAATTTATTTCAGATATTCATCAGTTTTATTTACAAGCAGTAAATTGCAGTTAAAAGAAAAAGCATCATTTAAGGTAGAAAAAGTTATTATTTACCAGATATTAATTTGAATAACGAATATGTAATATTTTCTAGATATCCAAACTGTTTTAGATTCTCTTCACAATGATGTCATAAATTATCAAAATAATTCAGTTTAAAAAAGTATCACAAAGAACCGCAAATTACAAAAAATATCCACACCATTTTACCTTTTTCAAATTACTGTTGTAAAATAAAACATTTTCAATTTTCTATGCAGGAGTAGAAATGTTTTAATGCAGTAATAATTCCATTAAACAAAATTAGATATTTAAGTGAATACTAAATTTTTTTGACTACTGTTTAGATAAATCTAGGCAATACAAACCATATCTATAAATATTCAGAAGTTTTTCCAAATGGGATAAGAAAAATATGGAAATCCATAGCCATAAAACCTTATTTGATATGCATTTTTAACATTCTAGAATAACTTAAATCAGGAGTGGAACTGAAACCTTCAACTTCTTACTATGTTGATTTATCCTAATAGCATAATAGAATGGCAATGCAAGTTCAGGTAGCATAAATCTGAATTGAGAATCTTATGATTATGCTTCTGACTCAACTAATTTACAATACATAACTATATACATCGTTCACCACTGATTAATAATCAAATGCTAGAGCTGGATTAACATAATTTGAGCATGGAAAGTAAATTATTTAATATGATTTTTATTTTTCCAGTTTCATTTAAAATCATTGTTCTATTATTAATGTTACAATTATTTAACAATATTCACTACATTTTACTATAGAACTTATCAAGAAAGTGCTGGTTTAAAGCGCAAGCTCTTGTTTGTCATGCATTCTTATATAGTTTAAAGTTAATTTCACATACATTTAATTTATTATACACAATGATTTGTGCCCATTACTCAATATAGAAAAATGGGAACTACATATTAATCATCATATATATTATTCATTCCTAAATAATTAATTTTTATATTTAAAAAAAAATCATAAAAGCAGAAATATTTAGCAAAGGATATTTGGTAATATGTATTATGACACATTATATGGAATGCAAAAGACTTAATTGCGCATCTGCCATGTCTGTTAAAGTTGCAGCATTCTAACTTTGTAAAAATGATCAAAGAAGCTCTTCCTTCCAAACTGTTTTGTGATCTTATAAATCATAAGACAATTATTATTAACGTACCTACATTTATTTATTTATTTATACCAGTGTTTTTCAACCTGGGGGCCATGGGTAAGAGAGAAAGACAAGTGTTTGTAGGTCCTACACCACATTAAAAAAACTACAAGTTCAGCGAGAATTATGGCCCACCCCAGAAAATGATAGCCGAAAAAGTGTTGAGCTGATTTGCAAAAAGAAATAAAAAGTAGAAGCTGAAAATTCTGATCCTAACAAAAAAAAATAATAATAAAATAAAAAACAAAACAAAAGATCAACAGCTCTCTGTGCCCAATGTTATAATTAAAGGAAGTTTCATACTTTGTGTGTTAAGTTATTGTCGATTCTTCCGAAATTTTCATTTTAATCAACAATAATTTGTCTCAACAGAAAGAAAATTAAATACATAGTTTTTAAAATCACTGATATAGTTTTAATATGGCCCTAGGGGGGTCGCCAGAATTTTTTAACTTGTAAAGGGGTCGTGTATTCAAGAAGGTTGAAAAACACTAATCTAATTTTAAAAAGCATATTTAATTGATTTTATGTAATGATTGAAATATTGAAAATAAAACCCTATCTATAATAAAAAGGAGGAGGAGAAATATCAATAAGATAAATTTTGTCTATTTTTTTTAAGAAAAATAATCTGTGGGTGAGTATCTTACATTGTAGTAAATGTGTTATAAATTCCTTTAGAAATACTTCTAAAATTATTAATGCATGCACTTTTAACCCTATTATATGTAAAAAAAATAGACAATAAGACAAACTATCTTCTTGTCAGATTGATGAATTTGTTCAATATTTATTGCAAGTAGTAAAGTAAGATGTATATCACAGTTTTGTAGTATAGAATTCAGACTCTCTACTTTTATGTTCGGCTCTTCAGAATCAACATTTGCTATTATGAATATTGTTCTAATAAAATTATTAAAATGATGAAATGGAATTAATGACAGAGAAATAAGATGCATGATACTGATTATTGATGGAGGTCACTAATTATGACGTATTACATTGAAAATAGATTCAGAGATATTAAAACCTGAAAAAACTCTCATACATTTGAGTAAATAAAAATTATTTTTAAAATATTGTACAGACTTAGGAATAATTTATTTCAACATTTGAAATTTTTCAAGTTATGCAGGCATGGTAAATGAAATGTTTAATCTATAAAAATGAGTACAGGTATAATTTAACAAATTCTAATTTGATAAACTATATCACAGTATGCACTAAATTTTCATTATGAAATAATTTGTGTATCACTATAAATTTGTCAAAATAAGTGAAAACAAATTCAAAGAGATATACATAGGATGTTCAATCATTTTGATTCTTCTGCTGTTCATAAAAAAATGACTTTTTTCTACTTCAAACTGTATTTTTCAATAATTTAATAATTCAATAAATTAAATGTAATATGCTTTTTAAACTGATTACCATATTTTCATGGTAGTGCTTATCCTTCAGAAAATTGCTAGAACAAAAATATAATCTTTTAAGACTAATATTAATGCACATTATTTTTATTTGTGTAGGTAAAGAAAATATACTTCACGTCTGATATTACTATTTTGGAAATGGTTTCTTTCACATTCCATATAAAATGTTTGAAAAATAAAGAAATTAAATTCTAAATCTATTTTATGTAAGAAACTAAATAATAAAATTATTTTCAAGAAAATAAGTTTGTCATTCAATTCTATTAATTTTCAATATTGAAGTTTATCAATGGATTAAAAGCATGGCTAATAATAAATGGCAAAGCAATACTTAAATCAATAGCAAGCTACAAGAAAAATCATTACTCAATAATTGAGAAAAATATGAAAATCTTGTTCTCTATTATTATTAATTTATACATTAGATATATGTCTATATAATTTCATGAAATTATACAATTAGTTTATAATGTAAAAGCCCATTTAGTCCTGATGCCTAAGATAGCATATTTAAATAAATCATTTAAAATATAAATATATTCAAAATCAAAACTGTATAAATTTCAAAAGAAAAACTTTATAAAATCATAAGTTTTAAAAATCATGTGTGACAATTTGCAATGTGGAAATCATATTTCCAGATCTAATATTGTTAGTCGAATGAAAAAATAAAAATAAAAGATCGTGCACGGTGCCAAATGCTCTGGCGGGAGGAAGCTCAAGATATTAGAAATGCTTCCTTTCTGCTGCAAGCGTGTTAGCATAAATATAAACATTAGTAAGGCAACGAATGGCCAAGCAAGGATGGGATATCATGCCTTGTACGAATATATTTACGTTTTCTTATCATCTTCGTCCTCTTCGTCTTCAAAAGGATTATAAGGCTTGTTATCACTGTCAAAGAAATTTTTTCATGGAAATATACTTACAATTAATGCAAATTTCAAATTACTTATTTAATTATATTTAATTCTTTATCGTACTATGTATGGTATATCCAAATAAGGTATCCAATAAATAATCCAGCTTAAATTATTTGTACAGCATTAAAGACACTTATTTCAAGTAGAAATTGCAGCTCAAAATCAGTGTGTATTTTATTTTAGTCTATTAATAAGAATTCTTACACCTTTCATACATGAAATTAATATATAGCTAGTGAATTCAATGATTTGGTATAAACTTTCAATTTAATATCAGGCAAGGCTGTAAGGTGTTAGATTTATTATATACATATTATACTAGATGAATTCTGTAAATAAGCAAGTGATTTATAAATAACTACATACTGATAAATAAGTATTGTTGATATACAAGTTATTTAACTTAAATCCTTAAAATTGTATTTAAATTTTTGTATAACATTAACAAACAATATTTTTACAACATGCCTAATGAAGATTTTTTAAGAATATATACATTTATTTAATAATATTTCTGACAAGATTACATTTTGTTCAAATGTGTTTTCTTTTTACCATTACTGAAATATAGTCCTCCTAAGGAAAAACACTATCTACAAAAATTTCAAAAGGTGGCATTAACTAAATTAACAGCTCCACTTTAAACATACTTTTAGTTAACTAAATTTCAACATATTTTTAGTTAACATATGGCATTTTTACTTCGCACACATGTAAATTTAAGTATTAGAAACTCATAAGACACTTCAGCTTGAAATTTTTGTAGACAGTATTTTTTCCTTAGGAGGGCAGTATAATAGTGTTGCTATTTTAAAAAATGATAATTACTGAACTATATTACAATGTATAACCCAATTATTTTTATAATAGAAATTTGAAATATTGCAGTGTTAAATCACAATATTGTATGATTAATTATGGAGTCCAGAATGCTACTGAATAAATACATATAAAAATATTTATCAATAATTACAAAAAATATGTAAATTATACTTTTTCCTCAAATTTTCTTTGATTATTTAATTTCTGCAGACATTAATCTAATGAAAAATGGAATGCAGTAGAGAATATAGATATAACCTTTGTTTAGTTCCACAATTTTTCAATAATTTATCTTCTTATTTTACAGGCTAAATTTCTTTTAAAATGTGTGCACGTGCACATATGCATGCCCTTGTGTGATTTTTTTTTATCACTGAAGAGTATTAATTTCTTACATAGTTTTAAAACAGCACTATAAATTTTTATTAGAGATTTTATAATATATTTTTCTTATTTTTAAGAAAAATATATTCTTATTTTCGTATTTAATTATTTGTCCTAATTATTAAGTTTGGTAAAACCAAAAAATGTTTAAAAACTCCATATTGATGGATAAAATTAATCAAGGAACAGATATATTGTTGCTGTCAATAAAAGCATGTTAACTTTAGTTGCTATATGACACATCAGATTTAAGCTAGATAGATTAGCTAAATAAAATATTTAAAATGTATAAATTATTATTAATAAACACATTATTATTCTTTATTTATAGGACAACTATGAAACCTTAAATAAATTAAACATGGCCTGCAACATTAAAAAATTTAAATTTCTAATATATTGTCAATTTAAAATTAAGTTTTATATTTAGAATTATTAACTTATTTCTGATTATTGATTACAAGTTTTTTAAATCAATTTTTTAAACAACAGTATTTTGAATACTATCAATAAAAACGTGATGATTTTAATCATAAATAACAAAAAATATTTTTTTATGACAATTAAAATTAAGTTATAAATTTATTGGATATCTTATTTAGATCCCTGTATAAAATACTTTTGTAGATTACTATAGCCTAATAATAAATACATAATTACTGAGCAAGACAATAGCACATGGTTGATTAACACAATTTGGAGAAAAGAAGGTACAACATCATCATCACTGATCAGATGACATTGTGATTTGCAAACAAAAGCAGAGGAGGAAATCAAAAAAATTCTGTGCAAATACAACTACAACTAAGAAGTTCTTAAGTGTATTAAAAGCATGCATATTAAACATTAATCTCTCCTGTCTTAAGAAAAACAAAATTAGGTTTCATGTATGCATTCACACACAGACATGAAACCCATGGTAGTATAAGGTAACCAAAAACTTTTAAATGAGATATTAAAAGAATACATATTTAGAACAGAGTATATCTATGTAACTAAACCAATGACACTAAAGCTAAACAATTTTTTCAAAAATGAAAAAACAAGCTGAACAAACTTTTGCAACAATGAAAAATTCAAAAATACATATTTGTTATAATCCACATTGACATACCCTGTGCAAAAACTGCTAGAACAGAAATAAAATTTCTGCATAACTTGTGCCATGTCTCCTGAGTATCCACTGGAGTGGACATTTAGCAGTATGCAATTTATCTTAAACATTATTTGTTTTTATGTTTTATTTCTGTTAGAAAATTAATTGCAGATATAATTAGAAAATAAACAGTAAAACGAAATACTGAGACAACCAAACTCCTAAACTTTTCAAGTGTTGAAAATACAAAACAATCAGTGAACAACACCACTTTTTAATGTATTACTTCACTTTTGTTTTATTTATCTAAGAAGTTTATTACAGGCAAGAAAAATCATTAGTATGATGATTTTTTTAATCCATTGTCAACTGGCTAAAAAAACAAAAAACTCATATTCATTAAAAAAGACATCATATTCAGTTCTATCAAATTAATGGTAGACAGACTCCATATTATCCAGATAAAGACTGAATTTTATCTTTATATTTTATTCTTGTTCATTCATCCATTTTTGAATAAGGTCAGTTTTATCAACTTGTGACTTGCATAAAGTAACTTTTAAGTAGATAAAGTTAAAATGAATAGATTGTTACTTGTGTGGATAAATATGGATAAAGAAGTGGATAAAGATGTGGATAAAGCTAGAGATGTGGGTAAAGCCAAAAGATGTGGATAAAGCTAGCATTATCTGGTTAATCCTAGCTTTATCCACTTAACAGGTTTTAGCCATAACATGTACAGTACATTAACAAGGAAGATAAAATTATATATATAGATTTCAATGAAATTTCAAAACTTTTATTTTATAAATGTATATGGAAATAAGAAATTTTTTTGTAACGTTTTAATTTTACCTATCTTAATTGCAGTAATGCAGTTTCATTTTGTAACTTTTTTTTATAAAAGGCATAAATTTAGTATGAATTTTGTTAAATAAAAGTAAATAAATTGACATAGAATGTAACATATTCTAACTTTAATTCAACCAACCAAGTGCATCATCTTACAATTAACATTGGTATATTCCATGTCTATATAAATTAACAAACTAACTATAATAAAATTCAAAATGATTGAGTGAAGGAGATAACTGTGTAGCATTAAAGATGAGTGTGTATAGATACAGCAAAGGCATATATACATTCAATTATGCAGAGTAAAATATTGATGACAAATCATGCATTATCCATGACATTTTTATAAATTTTAAAGTAAAAATAGTATTAAAGATTTCGTTTTAAATTTATAAAGTTTTAAAGAAACATTTAAAAATATAAATAGCGTATTATCTAAAGTTACAAATCAAATTTTTTGTTACATTATACACAATTTTTTTAATCTAAACTCTGATGACTACTAGATTCAATGAGAGACATTTCATCCTTTCAAGAAATTAAACATTGAATGTTTTTGGATGTTTTTCTTTCTTTATGATTAATTAAAAGATATACATGAAGAATAACTTTTCATTGAAAAGTGTAAATTCTTTCATCTACATCAACATACCAAGTACATTCAAACAATTTTGATAAATTCAAATAAATTTCCAATTCACTTAAATGAATCAAAATTCCATTAAGATATACATAATAATATAAATCTTACTGGAAGACTGAAACAAATTAAGATCTTCCAAAATATATATAAATTTTTCTAATTAAATTTTAAACACAATGAAAAAAAAAAAAGATAGTTAAACTTATTATACTGGCATTTATGACATCACTTTCTTAGATACCTGTTTTGAAGATAATTCTTAGCTCTTCTATTCAAAATTTAAATACATTTCTGATTAAGCTTCTTGCTCTCTTTTTTATAATTGTTTCTAGTATAAACTTTATATTATCAGTATTTTTTTTAATCTCAAATTTAATCATTTCTTCATAGTAAAATTTAATCTTCAGAAATTCATCAGAATTTATAAAAATACTATTACAAATCGTCTGACTTCCACTCAGACGATTTGTAATAGTATTTTTTCTAATTATTTCTGCAAAGAATTAATATCTACATGAAATAATTGCTTTTAGCAATTCAGGAAGATTACATTAAAAAATATCATGTGCATAATATAACAAGTTTATTTTATTTTAACTTTACATATTTTTTTCTTATAACCTAGGTAACATTAGTTCTGAATTGACTTTTGTAAAGCATTTAAAACTGGTACACTAAAATAAAAATAAATGGTGTTAATAAAACTTAAAAAAATCAAACAGCATCACATTAAGCAAAAATAAAATATTCTCCAACAAATGTTCACTCAGAAAATAAGTAATCAGGCAAATACAATAAAAGGAGAATGCAATACAAATAAGTAAATAATATCTCAAATATATTATTCTACTACACTTATTTCTAATAGGTCATTTGTAATTCTGCTGTGAAAAACCTTCCATTGAAACTTTTTATGCTTTGTTTATAATGAAAAACTATTAGAATAATTGGAGAAATGTGCTAATAATTTGCATTCATTCTTGCACATTCTTTTTGAGCAGCAATGATATATTGTTTGGTAATGGTGAGATGGTTTGTGTGTAGCATAGGTGAAGTGTGTTAAATTAATCTCTTGTCTATGTTGTCTGACTTCATTGTGGATCAGACCATCTATAACAAACAAATTATGTCTGGCCATATAGCCTTAATGTATTAGAATTTTAACTTAACC